GCGGTTTTGTACAAACAAACAGAGTTTAATTTCTTTGTAACTGTTTTTCTTCTTCCTCATTAAAATCAGTCGATGGTTGCGTGAGTGCATCGAATCAATACTTCTCTTCATATTCTTTTACTGTTGTAAACTTATCATAAACAAAGACTTCTTCTTCCTATTCTTCTATTCTATCCCAGATTTGTATTGTAACTTTCGTGAGACATACTAAATAAATTATTATGTTTTCGGCTTACTCACGTAATAATTTGACGAGGAACTCGACTAGTTTCAAGCCATGCTGGAGGCTCATAGTATAAGCAGCATTTCGCGGCCCGCGACGCGGCAACTGTCGCGGGTCGCGAAATTTACGTGAGTAAGCCGAAAACATAATAATTTATCTATCCCAGATTACTTAGAGTTTACCCAATAGCTAGGTTTCTCGATTCTTTCCTATCACAAATCTTATTACAAAATCTTCTCTCTTTCTCTTTCGTACTATTCTTCAAATAATCAATCGGTCTTTTCTCTAATTGTTCTCCTTCTTTCAAGCCTATTACATTTAAATTCAGTTCTTGCTTTGTCTTTAGTAATATACATTTGTTGTCATTAGTTATTTCAGCTTGTTAGGAATTTTAAGTGTGGAAGAGCCATACTTCGGCACGAATGGACCGGCTCGATCGGTGTAATACCACGCCTTCACAGAAAACCGACGTGAAATAACGCTTGTTGTATTTCGTGTGAGTGAGGTTACCGGAAACCCCCTCCTCAATTTTCTCAATCCCTGAATCCCCAACAATCCTCAAATTCCTAATCCCCAAAAGGCCGATAACGTACTTGTAATACCTCTGGTGTTTCGGGTATCCATGGGCGGCGCCGATTGCTTACCATCAGGTGATTCGTCTGCTCGTAAACCGGCTAATCCCAAAAAAAGTTATGTAGCTTGAGTCCTATTTTTGGTCTAATTTGACCAGAAATTTTGATACTTAAGGTTGAAAATTGTATTTAAAGTTCAATTTTAAACAGGTAAATGGGATAAATACCGCCATCGAGATTCCATTGCCAAAAACCTACATTTTATAGCAAAAACAATCGAAGTATTGTCTTGTGAAATAACATCACTTGTAATGGCTTCCACGAAACAAGATGCAATGTTTAATGCCAGGCATGTCTTAAAACCTAAATCACAATACTTTACACCTGTCATACTAACATATCAAAAAGAAACTTGCTTATTCAATAGGGGTATCCCTAATTGTGTCATGTCCGAACAAAAGAAAGAAGGCCTACGTGTGGAGTAGGCAGAGCCTAATATCGTATGCATCGCGCATGCTCAGAACAAATATTGTATTGTAATGCGTTGATTCATAGCTTAATGTATGCAAATATGTTGATTTACCGACTCTCTGATTCGGGTACTCATATCTGAATGTTTATCGATTTTTCCCCGATATTGTTCGTGATAACTTGTCTTCGCTATATTTGTTAACAAGGATGGTCTGAGAGTAGATCAAATTTTCGGTGTATTATTTCATCATAGTTTCCATGTTTATTTATTTATTTATTTTACACTTTAATGCACACAAAATAAGGTACATAAGGCGGACTTAATGCCATATGGCATTTTCTCCCAGTCAACCTTTGGGTTAAATGTAAGCTCAGCGAAAATGGGCCTGTGTAATATCCAAAAAAAAAAACAAAATAAATAACTAATAGTAATAATAATAATAAATACTGTATAACATACTGTATAAAAATATATAATAAACACAAAATATGTACATACATAAATAACTTCATATATATAATTATAATATAATATAAATTGACGAAGATATAAATTAAAGAAGACACGAACTCAGCGTTGTAGCGCCTTTAAATAGGCCTCACGAACACTACGTTTAAAAGCCATTTTGTTTGGAGCCATTTTTATACTATGGGGTAGTGCATTCCATAATTTAATTACACTAACTCTAAAGGAGTTAGAAACGAAGGAAGTGTGGTGAGACGGGATCTCTAGAAGCAAACTTTCAGCTAAACGGAGATTTCGGCTGTGAGAGCTGCCCAAAATCTGAAAGCCAGATTTTAGGTATTCGGGAGCACAAGGATCATTTAGAATAGAGAAGAGCATGCAGAGGGATCTATGTATGTTTAGTACTTCCCTGAAATTCTAGTTAGTTTTATCTGGAACTCAATCAGTACAAAATAACTTTTCAACACGATTTGTAACTTCCAGAGCATTAATACATTTATTAAGCTTTCCTTCTTTGATAAGAACATACTTCCTTTAATATCCGTCACTACCTTTTTTGGATGACGATGGGGGAAACTTTCAAAAGGTGCCTATTTTTTTGGGGACAAAGACTAGGGAGTGTAGGATTTGTACGTCACTAAAACCACCCTCAGTACTTATTAGGGGCACCGGGTCCTCTAAAAGAGTCTTTCGTCGGAGTCCCTGCGGTGTAACGCCTGTTACGGTACACCCCTTTTTTTGAGAGGGTAAAATCATCGAATGACTTCTCCCGCCCGGGTGAGGCGAGTGGGAGTGTCAGACTCTTTCTGACTAAAAACCACCCCGGTCCTACTCCTGCACTTCGAGCCGGAGCCCCGGCAACCCGCTAAGTCTTCCGTGGCTCCGTATCGGCATCAGCCCTATTGGGCTCCATCCGCGGCACATCCCTAGGGATCCATCCATAACAACCTATAACCTTTCCCTTCAAACCAAAAACCTTTTACTAAATACTTTTAAAAACAACAATCAATATTTTTGGTACATAACAATCGATTTCTGATATATTCCTTTCTACAGCGTGTTGACCACATTCTTTAGCATCGCCACCAGAACTTAAAAAACTTCAAGTATTTATGACGTCTTCAAGATGTGTTCTGAGTATAAAGATTACTTTTGTTTTGTACGTGATCGTTTTACTTAAGATTAACGCCTTTTTAACTTAACGAAACAAGCTTATATATGTGATGTTATACTCGAGCAGTTGTTATTGGATAACCCGGTAAACATTCAGACGAATCGCCTCAAAACAATTGGTGTCGCCAATGGACATTCGGAACACCAGAGACGTTACAAGTGCGTTACCAGCCTTTCGGGGATTAGGAATTTAAGGACTGTTGGATTGGGGTGATTGGGGAAGGTGTTATGTCCCATTTTTATGTGTTGTGATCTTTTTATGGGATAGAAAGGCAAACGCGCAGACGAACCACCATATGGTATGTAAACCACGCCGTCCATGCACACCCGTAACACCAGAAAATATAGTACATCGGCGGTCCCTCATAGAGGAAAAGAGGACACATCATCCTGAATAACTTCGAATAAATAAGAAGTATCTAAGTACCGGTAGGTTTAGTTAAGATTAAAAATAGAAATATCTATTTTGTAGAACAACTGTCTACTAGTAAATAAATTTGATTAAACGTTCCTGTCAGATTTAGGAATTTTGTCTACACCGAGGGGTTTATTAACAGAATTTTCTTTACTAAGAACTCAATCATTTAACACTACCATCGCCTCATTGACGCTGATTGACGCCTCAACCATGGTCTGGTCACCGGTAGATAATTAACAGGTCACCCATCCCAAAACTAACCGCAAAAAGATTCCGAACTTGAATAATTGCACAAAATCTCAAGATAAAACCAAGGTCTGCAAAAGTGGGTCAAAAAAGTAAAAAGATCAGGGGTCCAAGCTACCGAAGTTCGTGACAAGAATATTATTTGTAGTCACCAACTTAGCACATATGTTCTAAAAGTTTACGTCGAGACGTGAGACGAATACCTGATATTACGAACTTATCAAATAGTCCCTTTTATTAAATCAAAATTTTTCAATTTTTGAAAGATATTTTAACCTTTAAGTGCAAGTTCGACTAGGAGATACACATAACATAAATAACATCACGCCTTTTATCCCCGAAGGGGTAGGCAGAGGTGCACATTATGACACTTAATGCCACTGTACAATGTAACACCCACTTTTCACTATTTATGTTATGAGTCCAATGCAATGAGAGTTGGGCCTATTTCCATATACCGGGCACAATTCCAGATTCCGTGCTACTACTGAGATTTTTTGAAAAAACCTAGTAATATTTGCCCGACCCGGGAATCAAACCCTAGACCGGAGTCGCACTTGCGACCACTCGGCCAACGAGGCAGTCTATTCACTAACAATAAAATTATAATAGAAAAAATCATAAATCACAGCACACTTCAGACACGTGCAATAATATTAACCTTCTCGGTAGCTATATACCTCTACATAGATATAAGAAAATAAAACTGTCTGTCAGTAAAATTAGAAGTAGAATTAGCAATGGTACATAAATAGCAGCAGGTAGCTAGCTCATTGCCTGTCGACAGCCAAAACGAGATCATTAAACGACTTCTCGAGACAATTTTGTTATAGAACATTTATTTGTGTTAAATGTTTTAACTGTAATTGAGCTCTTATGGACGAAAGTAGTTTTTTCGGCTTTTTTGTAAGGGGGAAAATCATCGAATGACTGCTCCCGTCTGGGTGAGGCGGGAGGGAGTGTCAGACTCTTACTGACTAAAAACCACCCCGTTCTTTCTCCTGCACGCCGAGCCGGAGCCCCGGTAACCCGTTAGGTTCTCCGCGACGGTTTTTTCGGCTTATGTTTGAGTTAAAATGTGTGGAAAAGTAATATTTTAGATCTTATTAGAAAAAATATCTGGCTGCTGTGAAAATTAAACGTAATGGTTTTACAGTTAAAGACGATGATATTGGTAGTTTTTTTTTATGTAAATAGAATTTTACTATCCACGTACTCAACTGCATTTGTATGGGATTTGTCTTGTCTTATTTATTTTATTTATTTATTTATTTTTTATTAATGAAGATGTGGCACAGGCCACATACTGAGCGAGTCTGCGTTAGCACAAACCGATATACTTCTGAATATCCCACGAAGGAGACAGATTGTAGTATTTAATAATAATAATAAAAAAAAATATTTATTTTGAGCATCATATACATTCGGCGGGTAGTTGAAGCGACGGTCACGAAAAACTGTCTCTCCAAATAAATAAAACAATTAAATTTGTATTTATTCGTTAAATTATAGTTTTAAACATAAGTACATATTAGAAGTCAGTACCTGCTGGTTTTGTGTTTGCACAGTTACTATCACAGGATTTTACCGCTTATTACACGAACAATAATAATTATAAACATGGAGTCGCTGAGAGGAACATTTGCTGAGATGTCTGCACGATTCCACGATAGGATGGCAAGGTTTGAGGCTGAACAACAAAATTCAGCATCACCGAGTCTGCCACCGGAGTATTTGGCTTTCAAGAAGTTCACCCTTGAGTCTCTTCGTTGTATCCAGCAGCAGATGGATTCATTTACCGACGAGTTGGATTCAGTTGAGATGAGGAGTCGAAGGAAGATCTTATTGATCCACGGAGTTCCAGAGAACACAAGTGAAGACACTGCATCTGTGGTTGCTAACGTCATCCATCAAAAGCTGAGTTTGCCCACCATCACTGCTTTAGACATACGTAGATGTCATCGAGTCGGCGGCCGTGCCCACAAATCAAAACCCAGACCCATACTGGTAAAGATGAAGGATGCTGATATCCGGGACAAAGTCTGGTATAGTAAAACCAAATTAAAGGGGTCGGGTATCACAGTGTCGGAATTCCTCACAAAGATTAGACACCAGGTCTTCGTGGCGGCACGGGATAAGTTTGGTGTGGCGAACTGCTGGACGAAAAGGGGTGACATCTACGTCCTGGGATCGGATGGCGTCAGGCACCGTATTGTCAGCCACAGCCAGCTTCGCGCACTCGGTGAGCCTGCGGCTGTTCCTGAGCGATCTGCAGCCGTGGTTCCAAAGAAGAAGACGCGTGGTGCTGCTAAAAAGTGATTCCTCCGGTGATCCTGCCTCGCTCGGGTAACAAATCCACATTTTATTTTCCTTTGTCTATTTATAAAAGTACAATCTTCTGTATTATATTATTTTAGTTCTACCCTAGCATAGAATCCTCTAATTCTTTACATCTTATTTTCCTTATTTCTATCGCTTATTATCTTGACTTATATTATTGATTCCTCAATATTCATTTATTCCTTTTAACTTTAACTTTTATTTATTTTATTCTAAATAGATATTCGATTTCTGCAAAATTATTATGTTTACCTCCGGATTGTTTACTGTTTCTGACATTTGACATGTGTCAAACGTCAAGTTATTGGTTGCGTTCCACGTTTCAAATCGGGTATATGTTGACTATGAGACCATAGACAATTCACATACCAACGATTTCCTATCTATCATAAATTCTTGTAATTTTTATTTGTATTTCTATAATGATATCTATTAACTATGGCTGGTATTTATATTTTCAAATATGTACTTCTTGGATTTTTACCCGGGCGAGACATTGTTTTGTTATGTTTTTTTTTTTTTTTTTTTGTGATTTGTGAAGGTAAGCGTCTTGACATTATTTGTAACACGCAACTGGCAGGTGGATATGATATTTATCTTTGTTCGATAAATTATCATACTTTTATTTTTCTTTATTATAATTAGCTTATATATATATTTTTTTTTTATTATTATTACCTATTCATTTTATTTATTTATTTATTTATTATTATTATTATTTTTTTATTATGTTTGATAGTGAAAGTGACGTGCAGAGTGATGATGACACTTTTCTTTCTGCAATTAGTGGCAGTGACAGTCTTATCAGTTCCAATCTCCCATCTCTTGCTGATGCACTTGAGTCCCATTTCTCTGATGTACCGAAGAATCTTAATGTAGTCCATATTAATGCACAGAGTATTCCAGCTCATTATCACGATATGCTGACAGATCTTGACTGTAACAACATCCACGCCATACTTGTTTCCGAATCATGGTTAAAGCCATGCCTTCCTTCTACTTCATACTCTCTACCTGGATACCAACTGATACGAAATGATCGCACGAACTGCGGTGGTGGTGGTGTTGCCATATATCTACGTTCTAACATCTCCTTTAAAATAATTGATGTGTCACCGCAGCCCCCGCCGCAGAACGCTGGCGAGCATCTTTTCCTGGAATTAAGTTTGTGTCATTCCAGAGTATTGCTTGGTGTCTATTATTGTCCTTCCTTACGTACTGATTACTTTTCCTCTCTTGAAAATCTACTGCTGAACCTAACTCCCTCTTACAGTCATACCATAATAATGGGGGACTTCAACACCTGTCTCCTAAAACACGACACACGCTCCTCTTCACTTCAATCTATTGCTCAATCCCTAAACTTATCTCTTCTTCCCCTGAGCGCCACTCACCACTTTCCTAATTGTTCACCTTCTCTTCTTGACCTTATCCTTGTGTCGTCTGACCAGCACGTTGTCAAGCACGGACAATGTTCTGCTGACAACTTTTCCTACCATGATCTTATCTTCCTCTCGTACAAAGTCTGTCCTCCGAAATCTAAACCCAAAACATTCTTTCAGCGCAATTTTGGTGGTATGGATCTTGAGAGGCTTCGTGAGGATGCCGGCGGCATTGACTGGTCTGAACTTTTTGCTGCCGTGGGGACTGATGACAAAATCAGCATGTTTAATAAAAAACTCATTGAACTGTATGACATCCATGCCCCGATACGGCCAGTTAAAATAAAACATGTACCAGCGCCGTGGCTGACAGAAGAGATCAGGGTTGTAATTCACAGGAAAGCAGCTGCGAAATCCAAATTTAAACGCCTACCTAATCCTGTGAACCGCGAGAAGTATGTTGCAGCTCGAAATCGTAGCAACAAGATGTGTAGGGATGCACAACGCCGCCACATTCATCAATCTGTAGAGAATGGCGACGCAGCCAAGATCTGGACATTCCTAAGATCCATGGGAGTTGGGAAACTGCGTCGGGACGGGATTACTAGAAACCTGGACTTTGAATCTCTTAATAAACACTTTTCCTCTTCGCCCAATATTAATGGGTTTATCAAAACTAAAACTTTAAGCTATCTTTCTTCTCTTCCTTCTCCCAACTATTCACAATTTTCCTTTAATCAACTCACAGCTTGTGATGTTAGGAAGAGTATAGTTTCCATTAGTTCCAATGCGGTGGGGAGTGATTGTGTTAGCCGTAAGATGATACTCCCTGTCCTGGACGAAATCCTTCCTGTCATTTGCCATATCCTTAACTATTCCTTATCTAGCTGCATTTTTCCTTCTGCATGGAAGGACGCACAAATCACTCCTCTTCCCAAAAAACCAAACCCAGACTCCTTTTCCGATTACCGTCCTATTTCCATTTTACCCTTCCTCTCTAAAGTCCTGGAACGCCTCATCTATAACCAGCTAAGTGCTTTCCTCACCAAACACAGTCTCCTCAATCCTTACCAATCAGGGTTCCGTCCGGGGCATAGTACCACTACAGCACTTGTCAACATCACAGACGACATACGATCGGGTATCGAAAACGGCAATCTAACTCTGCTTACCTTGCTAGATTTTAGCAATGCATTCAACACCGTTGATTTCGATATCTTACTTGGAATACTGGGCTCTCTTAACATATCGCCGGCTGTGATTGATTTCTTTCGTAGTTACCTGTCTGGCCGCCGGCAGCGTGTTGCCATTGAAGGTTCATACTCCTCCTGGTCTGATACGACTGCTGGCGTACCGCAGGGGGGCGTTCTTTCTCCTCTACTCTTTGCTATTTTTATAAATTCTATCTCTGATGAACTTCTTTCTTCCTACCACTTGTATGCTGACGATCTGCAAATTTACTCTCAGGCACCTCCTGGTGAATTCACCGAGGCGGTAAAAATGGTGAATACCGACTTAGCTCGAATCTCAGAATGGAGCGCGGCTTACGGTTTAAAGGTTAACCCTGCGAAGACCCAGGTCATTGTAGTCGGTAGCCCTCGGTTACGTTGCAAAATTACATGGTCGCAGATTCCACCTATTGTTTTTAACGGTACCATAATACCATACAGCGACTCAGTGAAAGATCTAGGCATTACCATAGATCGAGACTTTTCTTGGGGACCGCAACTGGGGCAGGTCAGCCGGAAAATATTTGCGTCAGCCAAGTCTTTACGTAGACTTCGAAACTTTCTACCAACCGCTACCAAAATTGCGCTTGCTCAATCACTTCTCCTTCCCATTCTTGATTATGCCGACGTCAGCTATCCAGACCTTACTGAAGCGCAGTTAGATAAACTTGAGCGACTCCAAAATTTCTGTATAAGGTTTATATTTGGCTTACGAAAATATGACCACGTTTCCGAATACCGAGCTAAACTCAAGTGGCTGCCGATCCGCCTTCGCCGGAATACTCATATCCTATCCCTTCTCTACAATATACTGTTTAATCCTACTACGCCATATTACCTTAAAGAACGTTTCAAGTTCTACCATGACACACATTTTAGACCAGTACGGTCGTCGGGAGATCTGAGACTTGAGATGCCCCAGCATGAGAGTAAATCCTACGACAAATCGTTTACAGTTCGAGCTATTCGACTGTGGAATGCACTTCCCCCTTCCATAAAACAAGCAAAGTCACTGGTCACGTTCAAGGCACGCGTGAGGGAGCATTATCTCTCCACACTGTAGTTCATTGTTGTTTCTTCACCTAGTGTCACCTATCTGTCATTGTATCTTGTTTCTAAATGTACTTATGTATGTATTAGTATATGTATATATGTATGAATGTATGTAGGTATGTATGTATGTATGTATGTATGTATGTATGTATGTATGTATGTATGTATGTATGTATGTATGTGTGTGTATGTAAGTATATAATTCTATATTAAAAGTAAATAAATTTGTTTTTTAATGTTTACTCTTTTACATTATATAAATAAGCACTGAGTACGCCAAGCTATAACTACCTCATTTAATATCCTACTATATTATTCTATCCACCCAAAGGTTGCCTGGTAGATATCGCTTTTAGCGATAAGGCCGCCTTTGTACCCTATTTTCTTTATTTGTTCCTTGATGTACTGTCTCAAATTGGTGTACAATAAAGATTATTTATTATTATTATTATTATTGAGCCATGATCGTCCCACTGCAGGGTAAAAGCCTCCCTAATCTCCTTTGTCTTCTCTTATTTAAAAAAAAAAACATTGTGTTTTTGACTTCGTCTTTTTAAAATAAAACCAGGCGAAATCCAAAACGTAATTAGTTCGGCAGAAACCGTTCTTAATATGTATAATTCAATCTAAACCAAACTCACTTCAAATTACATTTAAGTCTATTTTCGCAACACATCTAGATATAATACTGAATACGAAAAAATAACAAAACAAATCGACATGAGACATCAATGTAACATTGTTACAAGAATTTCTACCAACAATACTCCGCGTCCTACTTAGAGCAGACTTCAACAATACTTTATATGAAGACGTGTCCAGAAACATTAAGTTTTATCAAATACTCAGATACTAGTAAAGATTTCTATTATATGAGAATTATTAGCTTTGCGTTCGTAGATTGTAAATGTTTTAGAAAATCGTGATTATTTTACCTCTTCTCTACGCAATTCTACATCGATGGATGAAGTTGAGACTTCTGTTCAAATTGAAGTTTGAAAGCAAGTTTGATAAAATCAAGCCCAACTGTTCGTGTGATCTCGTCATCATATCACCGTTTCATTTTGAAGCATCTTTTGTATGACGTAGGATAGTTAACAAAACTCTGACTATATCAACTACTAAAATGACGCAAAATAATTCCAAAACTACAGATGTAAGTACGCACGAACACTCCACAAAATCCATTCATACAAAGTTTACAACTCAATCAAATAACCCACACACCTTTACAAATCGACAACAATCCAAACTCATGGAAACAGTGAAAAAATTCTAAACTCCGAATGATTGATTCGGCCAAACAAACTTCCGCGCTTATAAACAAAAAGATCTAGTCAAAACATTGAGTTGGCTGCCGCCGCAGACGAGGCGGTTGCCAGTTTGCCAGCGGCCTGGTGTGCCCCCTTGGCAGGATCCATGGTCACACGTGGCCGGAATCCCCTTGTTATAAAATTATCGGTTTTATCATGCCAAATGTGAGAGTCAATAGCCTCCGCGAAATTTTCGTCTTGGATTATTCTTTGATTGTGTTTTCAAGTGTAACGGCCGACTGATTATAAATCTGTACATCCGCTTGTTGAAATATCTGTTCCTCAATACTGTTCTTTATTCAGCTTAGAAACACAAAGAAATTATTAATTATATATCATTAACCTTCCCTTCAAATTTCATCATACTATTGATTATTACTCAACCCAAAATTATCTCAGTCAGTCATCCAGTCAGTGGTTATCTAAATACACGAAATATTTTCAACTTTTGATCGCTAAATATATACTCAACAGAAACGAACAAACATCCTCATAATAACATTAAAAAGCTTCACATTACCGCATTATCCAAAACAAACAACCACCAT